GTTCCTTCATTCGTAGGCTGATTTTTCTTCCTGTTTCACCGATATACTTCTGCTCACAATTGCCGCATTTAATGAGATAAACTCCCGAACACTCAAGTTTATCCGTCTTCTCGTGTAGTTTTGGCAGACTGGTGAAAAATGTTTTATTCTCCTTTGTTATCACCTTGATATTCCATTTTCCTAATAAAGTTCGCAATTGTTGGCTCAGTTTTGATGAGGACAAGCAAATCCATTTTTGGTTGTTATCCTAATTCTTGATCTGTGTTTCATAAAATCCAAATTGAAATCAGGCCTTTATCACCTCTACATTTTGCTCTATAAGTTATCTGGGGTATCCATTACTAAGGCAAATTCGTGTCAATTTGTCCAACCTCTCGTCCCAGAACTCATTGTCCGTTAGTATTAAGCTTCTGATGGTCAAACTCTTCAGTATTCTGATCTTCAGTCTGCAGTTATGGTGAGAATGAAAATTAAGGATTATTCCCGCATACTAATTCTTACTGTATAGTCTCTTTATGAGTATCCCTTTGGAACCTATGACTTCAATATCCAGAAAGGGTAGCCGTTCATTCTCTTCCACCTCTATTGTGAATTTAATTCTTTCGTCAAGTTGGTTAATAAAATTGAGGAATTGATTTAAATTTTCTTACCATGTGACCAAAGTGCAAAGTAGTCATCCAAGTATCTCATGAGCACTCTTGGTTGCAGTGGTGACTTCAGAAATTTCCTTTCCAATTTGTCCATGTAAACATGAGAGTGCAGATCTCATCGGTATTCCAAATATTTGCTCGTAGATACTGCTGTTAAATTTGCGATATGTGATCATTACTGTCAGGTTGATGAGTCGTGTTAAAGATTCCTTCTGTATCCGTTCTGCCTGCAGGATGTCCTCTTCTCGCTGCAATATCTCCATTAAGGCGCTTATCGTCTTCTCACCTGAGATGTTTGTGTACATGGATTGTACATCAAAACTAACCAACAGCTCCGACCCCACTAACCCAATTTTCTGAATCTTTTGAGAAAATTCATATGAATTCTTGACGGTATTCAAGAGTCTGTCATTTACTTTCTTGAGCTTCAAGCAAATGAATTTCGCTAGTTTATGCATTGCGCTATGCTTGTTGTTGACTATTAGTCTTAGAGGATTCTATTCCTTGTGTATTCTCGGTAGTCCGTATTCTGTCGGTGGTCTTGCGTCATTTTTGATTAAAGATTTCATCATCCATCTGTCGATTTCCCTATTAGTATGCATTTCCTTGACTATATTCTTTAATGTCCGATTGATCTTCGTGGTTGGATCCTTCCTTAGTATTTGATAAGTATTCCGATCGCCTAGGATACTTTCCATTTTCTCCGTGTACTGTTTCCTATCCATTACAACAGTCTCTTATCCCGTATCCGCCTGAAGAACTATTTGATCATTCATTTTTAATTTTTTCCAAATACCAGCCAATCTGCTCCATTTTCTCGGCTCTTGATATGTCAGGATACGTGGAATTATTTCCAGTTCCATCTCCCGTTTTGTCTTTTCTGGATATTTATTCGTTATTTTGACAACTTCTACCATAATATCCCTGAGAACGTTTCCTTCATAACCTGGTAAAAAATGTAACCCCTTCTTTAAAAGATCGGTAGTTACAGAATCAATAGGAATTGAAGATAGGTTTACTACCTTTGTCCTATCGTCGTCTTTAGCAGTTTATGCTTTCAATAAAGAACCATCAAAATTTGTCTGGGTTGGCTTTTTTGCGCTGTTTATTATCCCATAGCTAAGCTCTTTCTTGTCAGGCCGCTTATTTATCAGATCCCGGACCCTCTGTGACTTCTAGTCGGTAATGCTCTGGAGTTTTTGAAAATCATGCAAAGTGAGAACCCTACCTAGATCCTTCCTTAATCTAGACTTGAGATATATGAACTTAAATAGCTTACAAATCTCAGTCTCGTAACTTTCCTCTAATTTATTGATAGAGGAGCAATAAAGTATTCCATTAACTGTGTCCGAATGACACTTCCTCACTAGATTGCAGAAACGAGGAACGATACCATAATGTTTGTAATAATTCAAAAAGGCCAAATGGTACAATTGACTTACATTGTCTTCTTTGTTCGGCTGTAATTAGTGCATTGTTTGGCAATCTTACTTCCATAGTTTAGATGAAGTTATATCGGTGAAACAGGAAGAAAAATCGGCATACAAATCAAGGAACATCATAGAATCTGCACGAGCATGGATACGAACAGATCAGAAATAGCGGAACTCATTGCACGAAGGGGGCACGAAATCTTCTCGAAATCATCTGAAAAGTTGGCTGCATATGGTGAAAATACGAGAAAACGCAAATTCCGAGAGGCCATCGATATACTGACCGAGAGAAATCTAATGAACAGGAGACTTGAAGAAGGCGTGATCAGCGAAAACTTTGCATATTGCACAAACAAACTCGGAGATGACCAGGCAAGAGCAAGATTAGCAAAAAGAAGACGACTGGATCAACGTAATATCCTTCATTTTAGGAAAAGAGATCGCAAGGAGACGAGAAAGGAACAATCGGAAGCAAAGAGGAGACGTCTTCAATGAGCCTGATCAAAACAAGTAGAACCACAACATTTGTGGGTTGGCACACAAGAGACTAGGACGTAGGAAGCAATGGACATGGAATTACAGATAGAAATAGGAAGGACGCGGTGGAGACTAAGGCCATTT